CGGCTTGAAATGCCACAGACTGCGCTAACCTCAGAATTCAAGCCTCCAGGAACAATGACCTCGGTGCATTGCGAGACCGACATAGTGGAAAACAGAGCGGAATTATAACTCGTATGCAATAGTAAAGCGGTCGCAATAAAAAAGCAAAACGGGATAAAAACTAGGAACAACCGGCAAAATTACCAGTATGTGTCAAAGATGCTTTGTCCAGTACCATTTTAATCGATCCAAGATATTTTGGATAAACGAAAGTTTGGGAGTAGTTAACTTTTGTTTCGTGTTTGTTCGGACACTGTTCTGCACAGTATTTCAACTAAAAACCTCGATTAATATGTCGCGTCAAAAATTCGACTTACCGCATAGTACGTAATTTGATCGTCGGTGTCGTAGTTTCAGGATGTTTAAATTGTGCATGGCCACAGCATACAAACAGTTGCTTGTTAATGTTTAATGGATTTTATACCTTTAAAATTTTATCGCAATTTCTTGCACGTACATGTAGGTAATTACATACCTTGTCATCCACTGTTACATAAGTTGTCTACTAAATTTATCAAAGGAATTTTCAAGTTGTACGATGCACAGGTACTGACCTTCAATGTCCATTCTTTAAGTCACCATGCCTTGGAAGTTGAGCTACACGGAATATTGGATAACTTCTCCGAATTTGCCTTTGAGTCACTCATACGTGTCATCAAACGTCTAGTTCGTAGTGCTGGTCATCACGTAAAATAAATACTTAGGCGTTACCTGGAAGAACTGGATGGCAAATTTCATGCTGCATACTTAGAACACGGACCAACTGGTATAAGGCGAGTCTGCGGTAAACGGCGCAGTATTTCTGTTACAAGGAATTTCCTATTCACCCGAGGCACCGGATAACATTGTCATTGTTGATGATTAACCCGTACGTTATAGTTGGAGTGCTTAGAATTTCTGTGCCGCATTACATGATCAATTGCAAATCTTTTACTGCTGTAAGGTCGTATAATGTGGAGTGCCGTCATGTGTGATGAATATATATATATATATATATATATATATATATATATATATATATGTATATGTATATGGTTGGCGGCATCCGGTTTCGGATTTGCCTGTCACTGTGGCAAGCCACAGGACGCCTGCGCCTACAGAGGGACCATGGATGGCTTGCGCTGCACCACCCACAGCTCCAACCACATACCCCATATCCAGTGTAAACCCGAAGGAATAAGACCGGGAGGCATGCGGTTGGGAACCACGTTTCATCAACGGAGCCGGCCCACACTCCTTCACAGGCAAACACAAGCACACTGTATTTGGGGAATCAAGCGCACACAAGGAGGTGGCTGGACCGTAGTCCGCTCCATACTGAGTGCATGGAACCACTCTTCGAGCCTAACACGGTCACAAGGACCGTGCACCCCGTCCACTCCAGCAACGACCAACTGTCTCCTGGAGCCAGTATGGACGAGATGGCGGGTAATAGACAGGTAGGCACCTTGTCAACATGCACATCAAGCGCAGCCACACCGGGGATATCAAACAACAGCCAATCACTTGAGAGAAAGAGAAAGAAAAAGAGAAAAACGCGATTAATGCATAAGGAAACGGTGACATAAACCTTAATTAAATAGCATACGTAATAAGTTGTTTACAAACAAATCCTAGCTAAGTGCACGAGGTCAGGAAGTATAGTTCACGGTATGCCACGAACACAAAAATGTTATGGAAATCGAATACAATTGGCTGAAACGATGTGTGCGAGTTAATGGAATAGAGTACAGGGAGATATTTATATGAGAAAGAAAAGCATTAAGGTAAAAACTGTAAACCCACCACCTGAAATAAAGAGACTTAGCATGCAAGCACGCAGTTAGTAAATCGAATTCAGCGTGCCTACAAACGCTGCGCCGGCTCGTCGTAATTCTCTGCAGGACCCGTCGTCGCTTCTGTAGTGGCCCCAAATGGCACAGCGCATGGCCCACTAGACATTTATATGAGAAAGAAAGGCATTAGGAGAGAACCGAAAACCCACCACCTGAAATAAAGAGACTAGCATGCAAGCACGCGGTTAGTAAATCGAATTCAGCGTGCCTACAAACGCTGCGCCGGTGCTGCCTACGTTCACTGCGGGACCCGTCGTCGCTTCGGCAGTGGTCCCGAGTGACCTCGCTCATGGCTCACTAGGCCTGCCTGACTAAGGCACTCGCGACCGCATGTTCTACAGCACCATGCGCTCGATGTCGATGGAGTACAATTCATTGGTGCTTGCCGCTTCCGCAACTGCCGCTTCTTCTCTGCATGCATGAGGGATTTCTCCCGCACCTCAGCAACTGCCTTCGTGATTAGATCGCGCCATGCACCACGATCAACCGCCTTCGATTCCCATGATCTGCAATCAAGATTAGAACGTGTGAGGCTCACTTTAATCATGTCCTGGTAACGTAACTTGGGTTTCCCAGCATGCCGCTTCCCTATACTCAGCTGACCGTATAAAAGTTGTTTCGGTATTCGCGTCGAATCCATACGGCTCACATGACCGAGCCATCTCAGGTGTCGCAGTAAAAGTATGCCGTCCACTGCATACATCCCACTTCGGCGCAACACTTCCGTGTCTGCAACTCTGGCGCCCCAACCGATCCGCAAAATTCGTCGCACACACTGCTGATGGAACCGCTCGAGATATCGCACATCCCGACGGTACATGGTCCACGTTTCACTGCCGTATAGAAGAACGGACAGTACCATGGATTTGTACACCATCAGCTTCGTGCCAATGCTAAGCTGATGGTTGTTCCACACTCGGTACTCAAGCTTCCCGAATGCCGCTGCCGCCTTCGACACGCGATTACGCAACTCAACGTGTATATATATATATATATATATATATATATATATATATATATATATATATATATATATATATATATATATATATATATATATATATATATGAGGCAGCTGATCTATGCACTGATGTGATGATGTTTGATCCTTTGCAAATACTATGTAAATGTTTTTACTTTCGTGTGAATAATGGACACGTCGTTCTTTCACTAATGTTTACCTTCAGGGCCCCAGCTTAAAATGCACAAAGCAGCAAGTGGATTAGGCCTGTCTGTTGCTTGTCTGAGCTTGCTGGTTACACTAGTAGTCGTAATGTGTTTCCGTGCAGGCGAACTCATGATCACGTGCAGCAACGGTTCGATCAAAGGGCTACACACAGCAGAGGAAAAATTGTTGCATGCTACGTGATTCCGATCATATGCAACTGAATGCTAGCTTTCGTTGCGCGTCTATCCAGCTGGAACTTGTATATTTGCACCCAAACTTTCAAATCTCCACCTCTGTATTCCTACGTTGCCCTTGTCATTTCACTGGCATGCCGTATATGTTCTTTCTTAAATATAAGTGCTCCGCAAGGCATGCGAATATCTTCTATGATGTATGCTTTACGGAAATCTACCTATTTCCTGCTCATACAATGCATGTTTCTGGTTTACCGAACTACATCGTGGTGCCTGCTGAATGGTTCGGGTGTACCCCGTTCCAGCGAAGGCTTCGGCGGTAGTGTTCTAACACGGTGGGACATTGTACTCCAGCAGTTATACTGATTCCGTGGGAAGGATTGGACCCCCGTCTGGTAACCTATCAAACAAAAGACAGAACTGAACATTCAGTCAGCGACTCCCGATGGGTGCGATTCCCTTAATTCGTTCCGCTGCCTCGCGGGTAGGTTATTTAGCCAAAGGCTCGGGATGATGTCTCTTAAGACAACTCTCTACTTCGGCTTGGACAGCAGCGTAGTATCAGTAAGATTGCACCCTGAGTCTCACTGCACTGAGGATGCCACCACGCATGGTGGTGAAACGTTTGCAACAAGCCACTAAGCTCGGAGCACAAATGAACAATCGAGGGTAGTATCATGCCCACTGAAAAAACCGTGGATTGTTCGTCTGCTATATCGTGCTCAGTTGCTTTAAATTCTGCTACCTGCACAACTTATTCACACGTCACCCGTTCATTTGTTACAAATCACCGTCACTCGCTAATTATTACTTCCATGGTTTCACTCCCGATGGTTTCGCCGACAAAAACAGAGTTCGTCAAGTAACTCTCTTCCAGCCCCGTCCTCGTTCCGCCTGGCATGTTTCGATGTACGTTCACTCATGCAGATCGGACAGCAGGCTGATCTTGCGCGCATTGGTGTTTTCTGTCTTTCCAAAACACGCTTGCAGGGCTCCAGTATTGTGTTTGAGTTGTGATATCCAACTGACTGCGGAGCCATGTTTCACCTACGTCTCTCTGATGACGCAGAAGCAAATGCGGCAGGCTTGCCTGGTGTTGGTGTAGTGCTAAGCAGCCACGCCGAAGCCGTACTGCTGGGCTGGTTTCCGATTAATAGCCGACTGTGTGCAGTTCGGCTTCGGGGATCATGCAGAAGCAACAGATATCATGAGAGACGCAATTGTTCGTAGTCTCGGCTTACGCCCCCACTGACTGCATTTGTGACTCGGGCAAGGACGATTTATACTGTGAATTCACCAGGTCTTGGGCGGAGCTTGCAAATCCGATATTATTGTCCTTGCTGGGGATCTTAACGCACGCGTCGGTCGTCTTTTGTCATACGAAGTCACCTCGGTTGTCACCGTGTGCTCGATGAGAGCCGCTCTCACATTGTGCGAAGACAATCGTTTATTTCTGTCGAGCACCAGCTTTCGGCATTCAAGAAGACCTTCCGCTACTTGGCGACCCTCTGCCTCTCATTCTTGGTCCCAGATTGCTCATATCGTAATCAGTTTCAAATGGGGTGGTAGTGTAAACTATTGCAAATCAATCTGGTTCACATTTCTTGACTCAAAAAATGCTCTTGCTTGTGCAAATATCTACATGAGATTCGGTGGACCCCAAAAAGGAAGCCCTGTAAGTTTGATACAAATAAACTATCTACTCTTTCGGTTCGGCAGAGCTATCAAGCTTCCTTGGCCGATGCACTCTGTAGCGACCCTCCGCAAGACATTGATGAACATTGGACGTTCATGCAGAGTGCCACACTCTCTTCCGGTCAGTTAGTCTGGGATCGTACTCAGCAGCCTACGAAGGTCTGGGTCTTCACACGCTCCTTGGATCTAGCATTAAAGCGGAATACCTGTAGCTCTGGTTGGCTGCTTAGGTTTAGGTTTATTATCCAAGTCAAACTATTTCGTTGCAGACGTTTCCTCGCAAATCGAGGTGACTTCGCCGCAGGAATATCCTTACGGAGTCCAACCATAATGAAGTGCGACGTTCTGTCAGTCGGCAGCTCAAACAAAGCTTACACCATGATCTTGCAACCTGATCAACTCAGCGCGCTTCGGATTTGGAGGCTTCTGCACCGTCTGACAATATTGCAAGCTCTTTCAGCTCATTTGATCCACTGGCCACAAAAGTCTGGTGTCCGTGAGACTATTTGCGAAGTGGATGGTTCGCCGCTCGTCAACCTACAAAGACGCTTGGATAGCTGGGCCAAG